CTCAGCGGGGAATCTTGCGATGACCGAGGACGGTCAGTATTATAGTGGGGGGGAGATGATACGGATGAAACCATCTCACCCGTATAAAATTCAATTTTAACGATTTTACCGATAAAAGGTCATCTCTAATAAATACACTACATACAATTGCAATGATACAAAGAGTCAATGTGCATACCCGGCGCAGTTGACTAAAAATGCAAATGCGTGGAATCTGAAAATAGGACAAGGCTTTGGAACTGGCAGCAGTACGCGTCGTGACATTATACTTGGATCCTATCTAAGATTCACCTACCATGAAATAGAGCACGAAGAGGTTCTAGAGTAAACACCCAACGCAGGGAGAAGAATTGCATTACTACCAAAGGGTTTAGAAACACATAATGGATTTATTGTGAAAACTCGTGCTTATACAAGAAATACAGAAAAGACGACATAGACGCTTAAACGGCATGTCTGAAACATGGAAAGACTAAACTACACCTAGGTAGTAAACGTATGAAGACTTAGCGTGGCTCCCGGCCATTCAGAAAGTCATGGACGGCAGTTCCCGCGTACGCATCAAAGACTGATGCGTCTGAACGTCACAAGTACAAACATGAGAAAAAGACACATTCTATTATATGAAATATAATAAGAACCCCCTGACAATTAAGAAAGACATTTGAAAACACCTTCGGAGTGTCTCCCGACCTCCGTAATGAAAAGACGAGCCAAGACAAGGCATTTTAATTAAAAACTCGGAAGCGACGGAAGGCCGAAGACTATTGGTAAACGCGTACGCATGCGCATCAACGCATCAGGAAACGTTAATCATTTTGTGATGTCATCTGTCAAACCGGTAAACCGGGCCATAGAAAGAAACACGCGAGATCATGCCAAGCTAAGAATAGCTACGTCGGCTAACTCCGCGTACGCATCAAACACTTGATGCGTTTGAAAATGAAAGACGCGACACTACAAAATCTGTAGTGTTCACAGAGATAGACTACAAAATATACCACACGTTCATTAAATTTCATATTTGTAATTCGGACCGAAGTATCCCGCATTAAAACACATGTAAAACATAGATAGGGGTTCCTGGAGTATATAAGGAGCGCGCTGGCAGGTCAAAAGGGAAGCAATCGTCCCCCGTTGACCAGCTAGTTGCACTCCAAGTAGAGACTTAGGAGGTGGACAGTTGTAATCAATTAAAGGAGATTTCTTCGTGGTCAAGAAAAGTACAGTGTGAACGAAGCCAGCGTGCTTGGGAGTCAACTTGCTTGGAGACTTTTGAATAAGAGGTTTTAAGGACACAGTATCATTTTAGACGAGACAGCGTACTCGTACCCTGGTTT